GGTCTCAGCGGGGGCGAGGGGGGAGGGGGAGGGGGAGGGGGGGGGAACAGGCCATGACGAGGAAGCAGAGGGGAGGCGGGGGCGAGGGGCGGGGGTGGTGAGTAATCACGGAGAGGCCAACGGACGGGCCCTCGGGCCCGAGGGCCCAGGTGCGGACGTGGGTGCCGGAATGGAAGGGAACAAGCAGGCATGCAGATCGAGATGTGCCCGCCGCGGCCGGTGGTGAACGTACCCGACAAGCATGTTGCCATCGTCGTAGACGGTGCCGGCCTGGGCGGCCTTGCGCTTGTTGAAGTAGCGCAGGATGTAGTAGACGATGAAGCAGATGAACTCACCCAGGAACATGGTGAAAGTCTGCAGGACCGGCTGCTCGAAAGGAACGCAAGTGCCGTCCGGGGCATCCTCCGGACACTTGTCACAGTCATAGGGGTTGGCCGGGTCGGCGCACTCGAAGGACTGCAGGGACTGGAACTTGGTGAAGAGGGTGTTCATGGTACCTGCATTGGTTGAGCAGGCGACGGACCGGGGGATGGGGGGGGGAGAGGGGGAGCGAGTGTGAGCGTGTGTGTGATAAGGCGGGGACGAAAGGGCGCCCGTCCTCCTTCCCCCCGGGGCCTGGGAGGAAGTGAGAGGGACGATTGCAGCCGTGGGCGTTGACAGCGTACCGGTAACCAGCATACCGGCCGCCAGAAGCAGGGCATAGTTGCGCTTCTGGGTGGCGGACATGCCCTCGTTCGCGGCCTCGGGCTTCGACATGATGAAGGCTCGGGGCGGAGGGGGGGAGGGGAAGGGCAGAGGGGAGGGGGGGGGCGGAGGGGAACGTGGCCGAAACGTGGGGCTCGCCAGGGCGCCCAGGGGAGCACCAGAAAAAGCCCCCTCGCGCGGGGCCTCGCCCGGCAGAAACCGGCCTCCAGGCTGGAGCAAGAGAGGGCGGCGAGGGAGAAAGAGACAGAGTTGGGGATGTGCTTTCCCTACGGAAGTATAGCCGAAGCACCAGTTAGGCCGACGAACACCTGTTCTAAGGCTTCCTCTCGAACCCCTTTTGTTACACGAATTGCTTTCTATTTTTGCTCGCCCCGCTAACTCGCCCCTAGGTCGAGTTACCTTG